AAACCTTTAAATTTTATATAGTAATTTTAGGCAGGAATCCAGCGATTCCTACATATAAACATAAAATATTTTATAAGTAAGTCCCTTTGAAAATTTGTATATTTAAACTTCGAGATTCATATCATGTGTTAAAAGTACAATTTTAGTTTATATACACATAAAGGGTGGTTACGTTGGGGGTGAAAGTTGGAGTCTAGAAAATTTTAATTAGTGATCTGCATAATTTTGTGCCAAATTCTGTTAAATTTTGCAAATGTTTCACAGATCACGAATTAATCATTTATCTAATGGGAAAACTGTTTGCTAATTCTTTAAGTAATATGCAAGGTACAACTCCAACAGTTGCTGAAACAGGAAGATCATCTATTACACAATCATCTGGAATGAGTTCAATTCATCATCAACATACCTTGCCAAATATTGTGATTGCACCACAACCCAACTCATAATAAAGCAACCATGGGAACATGTTGAAGATATAATGTCTACTTTAAAAGCATCATTTCCTTTACTAGCTTTAGCAATGGAGACTGTGGTTGATCAAATTCAACAACATCTTAAGCCAAATTCAGATGGGGATATTTATAGATTGATTGTTGCACTTTTAAATGATGGTTTACAGGTATTATTTTATTATTGCCTTTATTGCTGTATGATTTCTAATCATTTGGCAAGGTATTTCATGCAGTTTTTAATTAGTTATTTAATCTTTTTATTATTATTAGCAATGCTTGACTGAACCAGATGTATAAAAAAAATTTTTTAAATGATACGTAAAAGCGCAATTTTTTCTTACCTCTTCCTTATTATCATTCTACCTTTGTGTATCACTGAGAGTACGCTATGTTTTGCAACTTTCTCACATAGTTGTCGCTTTTAGGTGTTATCTTTCCATGTCAAAAAATTGGCTTATTCTTTTGTGTATTACCATATCAAAAATCGGGATTGCACTTTTCCATATCACTTCTCAGCAAAGCTGGTATGGCCAAAAAAAATTCGGACATTACTTTTGGTATCAAAATACAAAAAATTGATCTATACTTTTACATATTACTTTGGATCGTACCTTTGCATATCGCCACATCAAAAAACTGATTGCACTTTTACGTATCATCATATCGAAATCCAATTGCACTTTTATATATCACTATCAAAAATTGGATCATATTGCATATCATATCAATTATTATTGATCTATATTTTTGCAAATGTAAATTTAAAAATAAAATACAAAAAATAGTATGAACTATACATAAGTCTAAATTAAAGCCCAAAAATCAAATTGAAGGTCAAAATGGTCGAAATTACAGAAAAATTAATCAAAAACTTCAAGTCACATAACTCAGTCAGTATCTGGCTTTTTTGGATAAAACAACTACCATTCGAATTCTCTCAATGAGGCGAGTATAATGAAATGTAACACACAAAATTCGAATCACTAATTAGTGAGATATTTTTGTTTGCTGTATACCTTACAATAACTCACCATTTATCAATGCTATGAACATTAAATCACCATTATTCGAATCGCCTTTATGAGAATATTCTAATGAGCCGTGTTTCATTAAAGTTGGATCACTGGTTCTCTCTCTCTTGTGATGTGACATAATTTCGACCATTTGATTTCATGTATAGCACAAACATGTAAAACAATTAATAATCAAATATAAGATTGTAGTCTTCGCCTCATATACGCTTTAATTGAAGATTGATGCATTGGATCATCATAGTTGCTAGCTTTCAATTACTTATTAAACGTTTTCCTTGCCCATAGCTAATGCACTACGTGATGTGAGATGATGTGCGTGTTGCGTTCTTCACGTCATGGTACATGCTGACTTTCGTGTTTCATGGATAATAGAAGCAATTAATTATTGTTAAAATAGTTTGTATTTTAGATAAGATAAAAATATGATCGACGTATTATCGGTTAAAATAAATTTCAGGACTAAAATTTTTAGTTACACAAAATCACAGTTTTCCTTTCTTGTTAATGGGATTCTTGGCTGCTATCACTTTTTAAATCTCTTTCAATGTTAGTGAGAACTAAATCAGCATCTTTTTTTTATAAGCTGGCTTGGATTTTTTACTATATTCAAAATTCTTCTCATTCCAAGTCATTGATAATTCATTATCCAGTAAAACTTTAGAATACATATAATAGTTAATAATCAATTAATATGTATGTATGTATACACGCTAAATAAAATGAAAAAAAAATTTCTATTTCAATTATAGATTGAGTAGGTAACAATATATATATTATTATTTGTTTCTCTTCATCATAGTTGCTAGCTTTCAATTACTTATTAAACGTTTTCCTTGCCCATAGCTAATGCACTACGTGATGTGAGATGATGTGCGTGTTGCGTTCTTCACGTCATGGTACATGCTGACTTTCGTGTACCAAAATGATGATGGTATTGCATTTTGCATTTATCAACACATTTTCAAGGTCACATATGTTTTTTATAACTCGAATTCAGACTCCGAGGTGTAACGAATATGATTACCATGAACAATTGTTCACGATCAATCATAAGTAACATTTCTTCTGACCAGGAAAAACGTACATCATGATTCATTCGAGGCACGTAGTGCCGAAATAATGTTCTATGAATTGATTTTGTACGTTGCGCTCGAATTTGAGAATGAGGCATGAAATGTCAAAATAGTATTTGTGATCTGGTTTTGCGTGACGCATTCGAATTCCAATCACGTATTGTCGAGATGGTAATCTGCCCCCTAATTGGTGATACGTAAAAGCACAATTTTTTCTTACCTCTTCCTTATTATCATTCTACCTTTGCGTATCACTGAGAGTACGCTATGTTTTGCAACTTTCTCGCATAGTTGTCGCTTTTAGGTATTACCTTTCCATGTCAAAAAATTGGCTTATTCGTTTGCGTATTACCATATCAAAAATCGGAATCGCACTTTTCCATATCACTTCTCAGCAAAGCTGGTATGGCCAAAAAATCGGACATTATTTTTGGTATCATCATATAAAAAATTGATCTATACTTTTACATATTACTTTGTCCTATTACTATGTAAAAATATATATACGGAATTAACGTATTTCTTACCTTTTCAAAATTTAGTGTGAAGTACGGAATTTGTAACATATTGAAAGGGTGCGTTTTCGTTTCCAAATACAAGGTACGGACGGAATTTGTAGCATCTTAATACTATACTAACACTAAAAAGGTACTAGTCCGTTTTTGATTCCGCGTATAAGGTATTATTTTATTCATCAATAATGTAATTAAAATTTCAGTATTTTCAAATCTCAATTACACAGTAATTGGAATATAACATTAATAACATTTTCTTTACTCAAAGTTCTTTTATATATTTAATATGTAGTATGGTTTAGATAATTCGAATGGAGAGCTTTATAGGAATCAGCAAAAGCGGAAAACCGCTATTTTAACTTTCCTCGAAATAGACAAAGAAATATATGGTACAGTGATATAATATAATAGTACAGCATAATGTTATCTAATATATTTTCTTATTTATTATTCTAATTGTTCAATGTATTTCTGATATAAGGATTTGTCTTCAATTGAAAAGATCCACCTGTATTTTAGATAGATTCGATAGATCATTATATCACGCACTGTATTATGATTATTTTTTCATATTTAATATTACATGCTCATCTTGTTCCTGTATTTTTAGTGATTTCAAAACTCCAACATAGAAGCAAATCCTCTAATCGGATGATAGCTTGGAGGCAGTGGATAAATATGTGACAAAAATTGTATTTTTTATATTTAATTATTTATTAAATCCTTCTTACATGATATCATTATTTACTGCATACTGATCCTGATCTTGTTGTTTTATTATATTCTTGGATGATTTAATTCAAACAAAAAACATATTGGAATTGGTTAATAAATATGTGACAAGTATTTTTATATTTAATTGCATACTGATCTTGTTGTTATTATTCTTAAGATGATTTAATTCAGCCAAAAATTGAAACTTTGAGTTATAAATGAATACAAAGATTATATTTTACATCTTATATTTGTCACTTTTACATAACATTGTTTTTTATTACATACTGTCTTGTTATATTTTTAGATGATCCAATGCATCAATCTTCAATTAAAGCGTATATGAGGCGAAGACTACAATCTTATATTTGATTATTAATTGTTTTACATGTTTGTGCTATACATGAAATCAAATGGTCGAAATTATGTCACATCACAAGAGAGAGAGAACCAGTGATCCAACTTTAATGAAACACGGCTCATTAGAATATTCTCATAAAGGCGATTCGAATAATGGTGATTTAATGTTCATAGCATTGATAAATGGTGAGTTATTGTAAGGTATACAGCAAACAAAAATATCTCACTAATTAGTGATTCGAATTTTGTGTGTTACATTTCATTATACTCGCCTCATTGAGAGAATTCGAATGGTAGTTGTTTTATCCAAAAAAGCCAGATACTGACTGAGTTATGTGACTTGAAGTTTTTGATTAATTTTTCTGTAATTTCGACCATTTTGACCTTCAATTTGATTTTTGGGCTTTAATTTAGACTTATGTATAGTTCATACTATTTTTTGTATTTTATTTTTAAATTTACATTTGCAAAAATATAGATCAATAATAATTGATATGATATGCAATATGATCCAATTTTTGATAGTGATATATAAAAGTGCAATTGGATTTCGATATGATGATACGTAAAAGTGCAATCAGTTTTTTGATGTGGCGATATGCAAAGGTACGATCCAAAGTAATATGTAAAAGTATAGATCAATTTTTTGTATTTTGATACCAAAAGTAATGTCCGAATTTTTTTTGGCCATACCAGCTTTGCTGAGAAGTGATATGGAAAAGTGCAATCCCGATTTTTGATATGGTAATACACAAAAGAATAAGCCAATTTTTTGACATGGAAAGATAACACCTAAAAGCGACAACTATGTGAGAAAGTTGCAAAACATAGCGTACTCTCAGTGATACACAAAGGTAGAATGATAATAAGGAAGAGGTAAGAAAAAATTGCGCTTTTACGTATCATTTAAAAAATTTTTTTTATACATCTGGTTCAGTCAAGCATTGCTAATAATAATAAAAAGATTAAATAACTAATTAAAAACTGCATGAAATACCTTGCCAAATGATTAGAAATCATACAGCAATAAAGGCAATAATAAAATAATACCTGTAAACCATCATTTAAAAGTGCAACAATCAATCTATAAATATCCCCATCTGGTTGCTTTATTATGAGTTGGGTTGTGGTGCAATCACAATATTTGGCAAGGTATGTTGATGATGAATTGAACTCATTCCAGATGATTGTGTAATAGATGATCTTCCTGTTTCAGCAACTGTTGGAGTTGTACCTTGCATATTACTTAAAGAATTAGCAAACAGTTTTCCCATTAGATAAATGATTAATTCGTGATCTGTGAAACATTTGCAAAATTTAACAGAATTTGGCACAAAATTATGCAGATCACTAATTAAAATTTTCTAGACTCCAACTTTCACCCCCAACGTAACCACCCTTTATGTGTATATAAACTAAAATTGTACTTTTAACACATGATATGAATCTCGAAGTTTAAATATACAAATTTTCAAAGGGACTTACTTATAAAATATTTTATGTTTATATGTAGGAATCGCTGGATTCCTGCCTAAAATTACTATATAAAATTTAAAGGTTTGAGTAAGCAACTAAAAATATTTATGATGTAAAAATGGGTGTAGAATTAATTTTATCCAAGAAAAATATAAATATGTTATTTCTATTTAGTTTTTAATAGTTACTCTTTTTAAAATAAAATAAAAATTATCGTGGTCGTGTAATTTTCTTGACTCACATTGGTCACGGGAGGTAATGTCAGATTCTCAAAACTTCTGAAAATTATAATGTTTATTATCACCACCAGTGTTGAAAATTCAGCGGGAGGGTGTAACGTTACACAAGCCATATGCACATATCGTTTTTCAGAAAATTTTATTTATTTTAATATTAATGAATATTGTTTTACAAAAAAAAAATTAAACCTAATGTTTCTTCTTGGTTTTTTACTCTCCCAATGTTCTAATGCTTTTAAAAAATCAAAATTTTCAATTTCTGGTCCATTTAATAAAATCATTAAATGATCATCTAATGTGTCTAAATGCATTTTGTTTCTTGATTTGTTTTTAATTAACTTTGTTTGAGAAAATATTCTTTCTACATGTGCATTAGAAAGGGGTATAAGAAGTGCTATTCTAACAACTAATAATATATTTGGATTATTAAAAGGAAAATCTTCATCAGTATCTAAAATGTGTTTCCACAATTGAATGAAGTTCATTTCCCTATTATTTTTTTATAGTTCTGTAGGAAAAGTTTTGTTGAATTCCATTCTTGTTTAAGTTCTTCTTTGTCAATGATTCCACTAAATTCATTACCATTTACAAATTTAATTTCTCCATAGAAATTACCTAAAATTTCTATTTCTTGATTTCCATATATAAAACTAATTCTCTATCATCATCTGGAAGTTCTCTTGGATCAAAAATATTAAATGCACTATATAATTCAGATTCTGGAAATCTGTTTTTAATAGCATCAATTATTGCAATTGAATATTCTTTAACAAATGGTGGAATGGAATTATAATTATCATCCAAATATTTTTTAAATATTGTATATATCATAATTTGGTGGAATCTCTTCAGAGCCTATAAATTCAGTTTCAATTGTTTTAATTGTAACATCAAGTTGTAATTTAAAATGAGATATTGATAAATGTTCTAACTGAAATGTATTGATTAATTTCTTTAAAATATTTGTTAAATCAGCAAGGTACATTGTTGCTGAAATAAAAACATCATCTAGTTGATCATATAAATTTTCTGCAAGCTTATCTCCTTCTTCAATATTTTCATTTAGAGCAGATAATACAGAGTTTGTGATTTTATGTAAATTACTCACAGAATTTGAAAATTACAACCACCTAGTGTCACACATATTTAATATTACAAGCAATGGTTCTTCATTAATTTCCTAGTTAACAGTAAAAATTATTAATAAAAAGTATTGATAAAAAGAATATAAGGATGAAAAAATGGTGATTACCTTCATCATCTTTAAGATTTGTTGTCTTTTATAAGACTTTGAAATAACTATACAAATTTTTTAAAGTTTTTTCATATTTATTAAAATATATAACTTCTTCTGAAGCATCTTTTCCAGCTAGATGAAGCCTATGTGATATACAATGGTTTGAAGTCATGAATGGGTTGATTTTTTTAAATCTTGCGCAACACCACTCATGTGTCCTAATAATTAAAATGAATTAGTTAAAAAAAATTAATTTTTGCACAATTAAATAATGATTTCATCAATTTCATACCAATCATGTTAGAAGCACCATCACTTCCAAAATGAATAATATTGTGATAAGATATTCCCTTTGATGCACAAAATGACTTAATTTGATCAAATATGCTTTCACCATCAGTTGAGTCTAGGTTAACCATACCTAAATATCTCATGTATGGTATGTTGTTGATTATATATTTTCCTAGGGTCTGATTCATTTTGTCAACAATCATTTTGTCAACAATCATTTTGTCAACAATCATTTTGTCAACACCCATTTTGTCAACAGTCATTTTGTCGAAAGTTTGTTTCGTCAAAAGTTCACTTCGTCAAATGTTCATTTTGTTGAAAATTATTTCATCACAAAAAAAAAACTTCATTAAACAAATTTCTCCTCACACTTCCCACACACTCTGCTTTCCTCACCTAATTTCTTAACTAACTTTCCACACTCCTCACACCTAACTCATTCGGTCTCTGGCTCGAGGATGAAATAATTTTCAATGAAATGAACATTCGATGAAACAAACTTTTGACAAAATGAACATTTGATGAAACGAACTTTCGATCAAACGAACTTTTGACGAAATGATTGTCAACAAAATGATTGTTGACAAAATAATTTTTGATGAAGTAAATGTGACCGATTTTCCTACTATTGCTAAATATTTATCATTATCAACACTATTGGTTTCATCAATCATTATGCTCCAATAAACTGAGGAATTTAATTCTTCAAAGAGAGATTTTTTAATTGTATAAGCAATACTATCTAAAAAATCAAACCCAGATATATGATTGTTATAGCTCCCATATTTTGATTTAGATGATAATGGTTTTTCCAAAGAAGCATGTTTCAAAGTAGAAGTGTTATCACTAATTATTAATTCATTGCTATTTTCAATTTGTAGTGATATTAAACTACATAAGCCAGGATAAGTGTTCAATGAAATATTATTTTTTGAGCAGAAATAACTAGTTCTCATTAAAGAAATAATTCCTAATTTCTCTGTGCTTAATTGTCTTGTAGCATTTGGTTTAAGTGATTCTTCAGATTTTTTATGTTCAGAGGTTCTCATATGATCTCTAATTTTATCTATTCTTAACAAAGGTGTACCTTTTGCGAATGTTGTTATTCCATTGCATTCTCTACAAATTCTACAATATAACAATGTATTTCCATTAACATATTCAGTTTTCAACCATGGATAATCATCAAACCACTTAAGGTCAGCAGTTTTCCTAATATGTGATTCTTTAGGTTCTATATTTTCAGAGATTCTAGTTTGATCACCATTATTTAATTCATCATCTGACAAATTAATGATTTCAACTTCCATTGGTTGGTTGGACATTTTAATATATTTGAAAAAAATTAAACAAGTTTCAATTAAATTAAATCAAATAAAAAAAAAATTTTTTGATAACAAGTCTGGTATTTATAATGACAATTTTTAATTGCATGTGTGACAAATTTTAATTATTTTCATGCACACATAATTATGGTATAACGTTACACCCTCCCACTGAATTTTCAACACTGATCGCCACAAAAACATATTAATGATCGGCAAATTTTTGCAGTTGTTTCACGGATTACGAATTAATGTTTTGCATATTTTGTATTGTGATATTGTTGGAAAAAGTTGGAGGCGTTGACATACTTAGAACATTAACTCTTGTATGGCAAGACTTTGAGGTTGAGAAGACATTTGATCCGATTGATTGGTATTAACTCCAAGAATATTAATTTGAGCAGATGGACTGTCTTCCTTGATTAGAGCTACTCTGTCCAACATTTTTGTGGGATTGGTTGTTGTACATTTCCAATGTTTGCAATATTAGAATCAATTTGTGATGTTGAAGAAACTCAGGATTGTTAATTGTGTTGATGATGCTCCTGGATTATTAGCAATAGTTGATGATAATTGTGCTGCACAAGCTTGTGTTTGAGCAATGCCACTTGTTTTTTCACCAAAAAATATTCTTCTCTTGCTTTTCTTAATTGAAAATATAATGTCTAAAAAAAATTCTTACATTCACTAATAATTAAACATTTATTTATTTTCTAAAATTGAAGAATATATAACTCACTTGAGGATATTGTTTAGCAATTTTCATAAGGATGCCACGAGTATGTTTTGCCTCTTTGTGTATTAGGCGTATAATAAGTTGGGGTATAAAGGTTATCCAATACCATACAAGAACCTCTGTTTTATTGAAAAATGTCTCAAAAACAATTGAAATTGTTCCTTGTGCCTCGTCAAAAGATAAAAGCCACAAGATACGAATTACTATATAGTTGTAAAATAAGATCGGCAAAAAATATAGGATTTTCAATGTTTACGTGTTTTGTTATTTTTTCTTTTAAAATATGCCAAAAAAAATTAGATTAACAAACGCAAAGCTCAAATCACAAACTAGTGATTTCTCATGTAGCGATGATATTCTAATTTGGTTAAAAGATGAACTTGGGTATCGACCGGGACGTTCCACTTCTTTAATTGACGATAATATGGAACAACCATTGAAAAAGGAAGATATACAAAGGTTAAAAAATTAATCTTCAATGCATTAATTTTTATATTTTGACTTATCTTGTATGCACATATTTTTGCCTTATATATAGGCTATGTAAAGGTGAAATTTTGCCAATATTAATGTTTTCATTAAAACACATCAAATCAAAAGAGTAAATATACAAAAATTTCATATTATCTCTGTTTAAATCATTATAAACATTTACTAAATAAAAACATGTACTTCATTAAAGTCACATAAGGCAACTTCAGAAATCAAGAATTGTGTAAATGCCTAAAACATATTTGATTTTAATGTTCAAATTTTTATTTTATAACTTAAAACCATTAACATTTAACTTTTTTGAATGAATAGTGAACCAACAAGATTACCTAAATCAAAACGTAAACTAAGTTTCGAACATAATACTATACGTAGTGCACACAATTCAACCGCGAAACCAACCACAACTTTTGATTCTATTGATGCAAATGAAGAAAGCCTTTTACAGCGTAAAATAAAGCTTGAAAAGTATTTGATAAAAATTATTGACAAAGTACAATCAGATAATCAACAAATTGAACAGTTGTCGTCTCGCATATCTGATTTTGGTAAATATATTTATTATCCATATTCATGATTTTATTGATTAATTGCATCATTGATAAAGTTGTTGACTTTAAGGAAAAACTATTGCTGTTTTCTATGATTTAAAGAATCACAAATACGATTTGTAAAAGATCAGATTTTTGAGAAAAAGAATAAACTGCTTGTGAAAAATGCCTTTCGTGAAAAATGCATTCAAATAAATCACAGTGATGCCAATTACCAGAGGCTTTTGAGCAACTTTAAATCTAGGATCACTTTAAGAGATGAAATTGATACAGAGTCAAAAGAAAACGAGAGAACAATATTAATAAATACACATAAAATCAAGATTAGAGAAATCTGTGATAATCATAAATTCTTGGTTCAAAATACTATATTAAGGTTTTTACTTTTATTTACAAATTTCCTGTTACTATGTTGTTTTTATTAGTTTAAAATTGAAATATATGAATTTTTTTTATATAGCAATGAATCAACAGATCACAGATTAAAAAATGAAATCTCGAATTCTATTGAGGTTTTTGTATTTCCATGGAAGTTGAATGTTTGTTTGTTTGTTTTTCTTTCTTCTAATTAATCATATATATATTAGGCACTAATTCGGTTGATATCACCAAAAGTATTGCTAGAATCGGTACTGAGTGTAATAAGATCAACATCAAAAGATATTAGGTAAAAAATTTTTTAAAAAATTTATTTTTTCTATATGGCTTTATGATCAATTGATTGTGATATTCTTGACACTTTCAATATTAGCCGGGTAAAAAAACAATTTTTAGAAATATATTTGAAAAGAAATACACAGGATATTCAAGATCTTGTAAATCAACATAAAGAAAATCATATCACCAAATTTATTGAAACTGAAGCAACTTACAATGAAATTTTTGCAGTGAAAGAACATGCCAAAAAATTGCAAAATTCAATTGAGATTGCTATTCATAATCAATTTAAACATGATCCCTCTATGACTAATCGAATCATGTATGTGCCTATTTTTTTTCTTTGGTATTAATGACAAAAAAAGGTTCATTATATATTTACAAATTCATATATTTGTCTTTTCAGATCTTTAATAAAATCAAAAGTAGAATTGGAGGCAGAGAAACATACTTTAGATGTTCTTGATAAATGTGTAAATGATCTTAGACTTCGATGTCAAAATGTATTATGCATAGATGATGGATTGAAAATGATTTGTGAACATGTCAATAATTCAAATGAAATTATTGTAAGTGTAAAGATTTAATTATTAGTATTTAATATAATAATTTTATGATTTTATTTTATACTATTTACTAATTTTTTTTTTAAAAACTCAAAGGAATTGAAAAAAAGTCAAATAGAACAATTAAATTTAATTAACAATCAGACTATAACCACTTTTTTCAATCAATTAAGGGAAGTATCAGAATATATCAAAAGAGTTCTTTGTCCTTTTTCTCACGATTTTGAATGGATTTACAAAAGAATTGATTGCATGATGATGAAAGAAAATGAAAGATTTCAAAAATTAGATTTGAAGATTACTGTTCAACTCTACTATGAAAAGTATATTCATCTCACTTTTTTTTCATATAATCTTCTAGACATATGTTATGTATTTAAAAATTCAAGTATTAAATTAGGGAAGGTTTTTTTTAGTGAAATTCATCATATTGGCTCTCTTGAAATTCATCGAACGCTTGATGATCCTTTTTTAAAAGATGTTAAAGATATTATTCGTAGTCCAAAGTATCTTGGCGCTGAATGCATTTATATGATGTTACGAGAACTAAAATCCGAATGTACAATGTACAAAAATTTACAATTCATAATGAATAAAAACTTTCTACCGCACTATTATGAACTGAATATGATTGGTAATTATTTGATGGGATTTTTTTATTTTTTTATTACAAACATATTTATTTAATATATTATTATTTATTTAAACTTAGCAAAAAATTGGTTGTCTTCTGTACGAAACCTTATGATAAATTGCAATAAAAACGACTCTTATACAAAAACAATTGAAAGTATGCAAGTGGCTATTGAATATTTAAAAGGTATCTATATCTGTTCATAATTGATTATATATTTATTTATTATTTATAAATGTAAATATATTTTTTTAATTATTGCTATAGATTTATTAAAGAAACAGAAAAAGGATTATAAAAATTATATAGAAAATCAGATTCCACGACACAAAGCAAAAATTGATGATTTAACAAAAACCACATTTCATGCTATCCATGAAATTTTGGAAGAACGGTATGTGTAATGTTATTTTTAATTATACGTACGTGTGTGTGTGTATATGGTTTTTTTCTTCTAACCAAATATTTTTTATTTAAACCAATTTTCAGTAATGATTTTTTATGTAATTTTGCAATGATTTGTTGATGTTTGTGTTGGGAAAAAAAAATCAAAAAGGGATTTCGATGTTACACGAATTTAATCGCGTTGTATATACAGTGTGTTACAAAAAAAATTGGAAATTTTTAAATTAACATTGTGAAACAACTACTGTATTAGTTTGTGTGAAAAATGGCTCATTTGATAGCTTAAAATCATAATTTTTATTGATAATATTTTAATAAGAAATCCTTTCGCCATTATTTTCAATGACCAGTTCACATCTCGATTTCATTGAATGAATTAAACTAATTAGAAGTGAATTAGGAATTGCATCCCACTCCTCAGCCATAAACTGCACCAATTCTGCCAGATTTTTTGGCATTCTCTTCTCCACATTCCTCTTAACAATAGCCCACAAATTTTCTATTGGGTTTAAATCAGGACTGTTGGATGGCCAATCCATAACTTCAGGAAAGTTTTCTTGAAGAAATGTTTTGGCTCAGCGGCTTGTATGTTTGGGATCATTATCCTGTTGAAACTGCCAATCATCCCCTAACATTCTTTGGATCTCTGGGCGATGATTCTCCAATATTTCAACATAAAATTCTGCATTCATAATTTGTTGGAAGCAAAAAAGACTGGTCTTTCCATGGATGCAAAAGCCACCTCAAGCAAAAATTTTGGTGCGATCTTTTGGCATTGGGCGAATGGGGTCTTACATTCTTATACCATCCTTCAATTGTGTTTCAGTAAAGCTGGAAAGCTGTCTCATCCAAAAATAGTGGTTTCCCCCAATTATCATTAAGATGATTTTGTGCCCACTCCACATGACATTCTTTATGCCTTATTGTTAGCATTGGGGTGGCTCTTGGCAAATTTTTCTTATATCTGATCCTTTCCAAATGCCTTAATACTGTTACATATGAGACCTCTATTCCTTTATTTAACATTTTATTAGCCAAAGACCTCAAAGAAATAGAAGAATCTCTATGAATATATTGTCCGATTGCACACAATGCTTCCGCAGTAATTTTCTTTTTTCTACCATTACCCCTTTATGTTCCACATTACCATTTTTTTTCAACTTTACAATATTAAAATAAATAGTTGAGAGTGGGATGTTCGTAATATTATGTAATTGACAAGCAGAACATATCCCCTGATTCCAATAATATAATAAGGTTGTACGTTGCTGTTCTTTTGTAGATTGTGTCATTTTATTAGCAAATTACACAAAAAAATTTTATTTGATTTGGTTAAAAGATAAAACAGACTAACTCTAATAAAGAAAGGCTTTGGTTTGAATTTTATTTGATGCGGACCAGACCGTTTTTGGTAAAGTTATTAAATTTTTTTTTACATCAAAAAATTTCCAATTTTTTTGTAACACACTGTATATGCAGAGCGCCCCAAAATTTCTTTAAATGAATGTATAATAATAATAATAATAATATGGGGCATACTGCAACAAAACCAGACAAAGTGAACATTGGTATTACCAAAGATTTCAGGGATCAAAATTTAGTAATGTGATTATTAAAATCTTCCATTTGTTATCCTCTTGATATATAGAATTACCTCTATATAAAAATAGTTAATATGAAGCTAATTTACATCAGATCTACTATGGAACCTAAGAATTATAGTACCATTAGAAGTATTTTAAAAAAAGAACAAGGTGAAAAAATTGCTCCTTATATTTTTAAATTAGCAGATACTAAATCCTTGCAAACATATTTAGACAAAAAAAGATCACTTATGAAATTTGCCAAGAGAGAAAAAGAAAAGTTATAATTAATAAAAGAATATTAACACAGAACCTAGAAAATTAGGAAAAAATTTATTTACTTACTATAAATATTGGTGTATCAGTACACAGTGTGACGAAGTTACTAGAATCAATATCACTAGTTTATTTTTAAAATTGAAGAGATTCTAAAATTGGTCCTGTGGTGACAAGCAAAGAATTAAATTTGAATGGATCTGCAAATAAATATTCAAGTATATGAAAATAAAAATCCTTAACCAGTTCCATGAAAAATAATTATGTCTAGATTTAAATTATTAAAATGGATAAGATAAAAATCATGAAAATTATTATCTTAATAAATAAAAGAGAATTATTGTTGTTTCTAAAAAAATTATTGAGGAGAATTGTTGTTTTGTGTTAATTATATTATTATTTTTATATAATTGGGGCATATTGCAACAAAACGAACATTGGTTGGTTCAAGAAAAATCTTAATCATCATTCATCACTAATGTAATAATTTTTTTTTTATGCTATACAAGTTACTCCTAGGGCAAGCAAAAAATGTCATTATACCAAGATTGTCACTATAATGAGCTGTCCTTATAACATGAGTCATACATAATTTTAAATTTGGAGTTAACATATTAATATATTAATTTAACAACATATTACTATTTTAGCTTTAATTAATCAATTAATGATGCGCAATATTCTCAAATTATTTAATTATTATATTCTTGCTATTTTTCTTTGCCAAATAATTGTTCTAAAATCTATTATCCAATATCATTTAATTGTGACCAATAATAATAACTATTCTTTAATGTTGACGATCCATGAGGTGTCAGGATTTGCAAGTCTAGAATCTAATGAATCAAGCCTTATAATTCCTTTAAATGAATCATAAGATTCATCTAAAATCAACTAAAAATATATTATATTATTTGATTAGAATTTGCAAATGATAATAATCAATAATACTTTACATATATATATTGCAAATATTTACCCTAAATCTAATTAAGTCAATTAAACAAGTTCTTATGGAGCAAAAACCAGAAAGTCGTTTAGGAAGATTTATTGAAAAGAGTTTGTGTTTCAGGTAAAGTTCAGGAGCAGCTAAATACATGATGTGGATATCCAGATCTAATTCTGTTTAATTTTATATGAATAAGTTATACTTAGAATAAATACAGTAAATAACTTAATAAATAATTTATATTAAGCTTTAATATCTACCAGAAATGCGGATACCAAATACATTTATCAAATTAATATAATTTTTCAAAGATCTTTTTTCCAGGATAGAATGAAAATGAGTAATTTGATCATGTAATAGTATAGATAATTTATTTGAATCATTGATTGCTTTATTGAGACCCTTTTTCCGAGCAGCAGTTTTTGCTTGCTCAAATGTAACAACTTCAGCTTCATAAATAGCATAGTTTACTTTGATATCTGGAATAAGGGGATTTCGTGTACGTTCTGACACATTCTCTTTATCTTTGTTACGCCTTTCACTATTTGCATCACTTGAACTATTTAATCAAAATTATTTTTTAAAAATTCATGTTTTTGCAGTTTAATGAAAAAAAAATTATATATGTACCTGTTTATATAATAAAGATACTCTTTATTGAAGAATAAAGCATCAAACATTGGTGTATATAAGATAGAACGGATATGCTCCTCAGAATATAACTCGGTGAAGTAAGCTTCATTTCTTGCAAATAAATTCCAGCTGAAATTCCAAAAATAGATCATTATAATGAATGTTGAAACCATTTTTCTAAAAAAAAGCATTTAAATCTTACTATGTTTTGATTACTATTAATATAAAATGACTCATTCGTTCTGTTATGTCATTGCTTTCAAAATTTTCAAACTTGTTATAATTATTTAGAAAATCTTGAACATCCTTTTTTTCTTTAAAATTTTTGATATCTTCCAACATTTCTTTAATATGCTGATCACTGAAAACATAATTATAAACATTGAATTTCTTTTCAAATTTTTTAAATTTATCCTTCATCTTTTGGATGTTTGTGTTAGAGCTTCCAAAGTCAACAATACCATATTTTATCAGATCACTAAGTTTTAAATACAATTGTTATAATTTTGGAACTTTATAGTTAAAATTTTGATCATTATTAATAATATTACCCCTTTGCAGCTTGATTGTGTATTTTTAACAGATCATCATATAATTTTTTCCCCTATAAATTTAAATTAGTTAGTTTAAAGCCAATTTATAAACAACAAAATACTTACAATTACCTCTCTACCAAATTTCGGATTATTCCTGCAATTTATTTATTATTATTAATTAGAATGGTGACAAGTTGCAAATTGTAACTAGAGGATGACAAGTGGCGGGCGATAACCACCACCACCATCCTTAAAACACTTACCCAGCTACTGCTTCCGTTGCATTACTAGATTTTTTTCTTCTAAGTTTTTCTCTTGTATCTTTTGGCATTTTTTAATTCACAATCTCAAGATAAAGATAAAACTTGCAGAGGATTTAAAGGAAATCCTGGAAGTTGTCAATTTGGTGATAATTGTCGATATCGACACGTAATGCCAAATTCTACAACAGTTTCTCAATCACCAAAGCAAACAAATTAAATAATAGATAGCTCAAAATGAATTTTCTTCAATATATAAGGATCCAGTTGAAAAAAATTTGTCAGAAAAAGATTCGAGAGGTTATGATGATTTTCTTAGTGATTATAATAGCGAAGGTGGCGAAGTGGTGAATGTAAAAATTGTTGATTCTCGAGGACGACGTGAAAAAGTTAAAAGAAGTTTGTAATATGGTATGGTACCACACTAATTATTTATCTATTGGTTTTTTTTTTGGTAGGACAGACGCGAATTGATTTTTTTCTTTCTTGGAAAAACAATTTATTTTTTGACAGAGTCCAAGGTGACAAAACATGAACGTTGTTGTTTAGTTTAGTTTGGGTCTCCTAAAGAAGACGTGTTAATAACTAACCAGAGGTACTTTTTTTTACTTGTATTGATATTTTTTGGTTATTATAAACATTTTAATTGGATCTTGCTGGGTAATTACAAGATTTTCATTGATAATATTTTACTTTTCGTAATCAATAATAATAATATTATATTATTATA